AACACAGTTCGGTTCAGAATTACATCGTCGCCTTCGAATTCCACTCAAACAAACTTCCTTGGCTACCCGACACTTACTTTCTTAGCATTTTTATCGTCGGCCTTCGGTTTGATATCCGACGCGAAATCCAGGCGTTGGAACCTGATTCCATCTGCAAGGCGATGGGACTTGCCAAGCTTCAAGAAGATAAATTCCTTGACTCCCGTCGCCCGTTACCTCGTTGGACTACCCAACCAGTCGTGCGAACTCTCCTGCTGCACCCCTCCTCCCAACCCCACCTATATCCCCTTCCACCACCAAAGTTATTACCAATGCCGACTTGCAACAGCATTGAGAACGGGGCTTATTGTTAACATGATTGATATCTTTGTGGAAACATGTGGCAAACGACCTGAAGCTAGCGACCAGATGAGCTGGATGAGTAAAGCTGTGATGTGAAGCAAATGTTCTCTAAGCACGTGTTGTAATGAACATGCAATTTGGATGAAGTGATCAAAGGGTAATGCGATCTGGAAGCAATAGAAGAAAGTGTTCAAGTGACCTACGAGCTTGAGATCAGAAGTATGTAGTTACCTATCAGAAGGAAGGTCAGAGCCATCATTATTGAATTTCAAAAGACGGTCAATTATCATGTAGGGTTTACCTGTTATTATAGATAAGATTGTCAGATGTAAAACTAATTAGGAATATTTGGCTCAAAATTCTAACAACGTATAAAAGTGGCTTAGCGTGTTAAATTTGTCTAAAGTCTAGGATTATCATTTAATACACTACAAGAAATTTAACATTTAGGGACGAAACGTTTTGTCATAGAAAGTGGAATATTCGTTCTTAAAAGTAATGCGGAACGAGAGACCATATCGTCCCCAAAACCACGTTGCCAAAGGGTAACGTCCACAGAAAAACGAATCGTCTCTAAAGCAACATCATTGGGGACTAAATACAGTTTCGTCACTAAAGATTATTTATTTTGTGAAAAAAATTTCTTCCACAAAAGAATAACTATTTGTCCCAAATAATGTCATTTCGTCCCCAAAAAATGCACAATTGGGGATGAAATTGCTTCATCCTTGATTGGGTAGATAATTTGGGACATTTTTTTTTCGTCATTGTCTATGTGGCAATTAGGAATGAAAATTTTCATCCTAGATGGTGTGGTGAATTGGGAACATAGATTTTCGTCCCTAATGGAATGGTGAATTAGGGACGAAAATTTCTTTCCCTCATGCTATAGTGAATTGGGGACAAAGATTTTCGTCCCTGATGGTGTGGTGAATTGGGGACAAAAAATTCCGTCCTTTCTTTTATGATGAATTACGACGAGAATTTATTCCTGACTGAAAATTAACAAATGTATTGATTCTCAAAGTCAAAAAATTCATATGAAACATCTTTTTAACTAAGTAAAAAATATTACTTAATATCAAATTGATACTACTACAAATCAACAAATAACCAAGTAATAACAAAATATTATATATATATAAGCCAATAGTATCATAAACACATCCAACTGAAACTAACATATAAACAAAAAGTATAGAATGTATCAGCCAATAGTATAAAATAACTACACTTTCTTTGTTAGTTGGATGTCAAAATATATACTATTTTCTTCACTACTTGGATGTCAAAAACGGTACCACTCCTATAGTAGCCGCATGTCAAAAGAAGCAAAAAAGCGAATTGCTAAAGTTGATGGACATTTAGGTATACACATGTCAAACAAGTCTGCAACAATCATTATTAACAATTACTCAACTATATATTTGTCTAAAGTTTATAAGATAAAGTTAACATAAAACATTAGGGAGACATATTGCTAATGATTTTTACCTTTAAGGAGCAAGTGGATGATTTCCAACGGCAAGCCACATCTCAAACATCTTTTCTTGTCATTCTAAGCATAAGGTTAGTTCATCTACTTTCTCTTGATACTTGAGATTTCTCTCCTCTAATTCTCTAAATCTATCTTCAGATTCTTTAAGAGCATCTACAAGTCTCTTAATTTGAAGACTTGGTCCTGCTTTTTTCTTAGGCTTTGGACCATACCCAAGTCCCTTAATATATCCTGATTGAGTTCCAAGCACTTGATCACAAATTTCATCTGCAGTTAATGGTTTGTCATCTAATGAACTTTTTTCCTTCAATTCTATCATTTCATTCCACATTTTAGGACATTCAATATAAACATCAAATTAAGTTAAACAATGTCAATCATCGTAGGTAAACACAATGTTGTTACATACAATCAATTGAATACTAATTAATTTCACTGACATATTTTGCCTCAGCTTCTGGGGCAAAATGCAAAAGGAATAATTTCCCTCCATGTTATTTGATCCTTCCCTCCAAATGAAATTGTTAATTACTTTTCCAAATTTTATCCTTAAAATGCATTTTTCACAATCAAGGACAAAATCATATTCTGTCTCTAATAAGTTTCCAAATTTTGTACAATTAGCGACAAAAAATTTCATCCTAGAAAAAACAGGTTTTAGCTACAAAATTATTCATCCATAAATAATAAATTTCATCCCAGAATGATTTCCCTCCATATTATTTTCATCCTTCCCTCCAAATGGCATGTTGACGTGAGGGGAAAATTGAACCCTAAGAATTTTGTGACAAAATTACAATTTTGTCCCCTAAAATGACAATTCTGGGATGACCATGAGTTCCAAATTTCGTCCCCAAAAAATGATTTTCACAATCTATGACAAAATCATATTTCGTCCCTAATAAGTTTTCCAAATTTTGTACAATTAGAGACAAAAACATTTCGTCCCAAAAGAAAAACGCTTTAGCTACAAAATTTTCCATCCAAAAATAATAAATTTTATCCCTAAAAATGTATTTTTACAATCAAAGACAAAATCATATTTCGTCCCTAATAAGTTTTCCAAATTGTATACAATTAGAGACAAAAAATTTCGTCCCAAACAAGAATGTGTTTAGCTACGAATTTGTTTGTCCATAAATAATAAATTTTGTCCCAGAATGATTTCCCTCCATATTATTTTGATCCTTCCCTCCAAATGCCATTGTTGGCACGGGTGGAGATTGATTGCTAAACATTTTGTGACGAAATTATAATTTCGTCCCCTAAGATAACCATTTTGGGACAAAACTGACTTCGTCCCTAAATGTTAAATTTCTTGTAGTGATACTTTGCAGAATAGGCGTGTTAAAGGACGCAATCAATGATGTGTTTAGGCTATATATAATAAATGTTTGAATTAATGAAATTAGAACTTTTTTGTGCATTCTTTCTTTGTATTCTTTAGCTTGTAATCCAACAATTGGTATCAGAGTCATAATTCTCTTCATTGAGATTAATCTATCGTTAAACATTTCATCTTCTTCCCTCAAAATTACCTTCAACTTTAAAGTCTAAAACTTGTCTTCATGGCGTCAAGCACAGCTTCTCTCTTACCTCCAGTCTTTAATAGAGAACAGTACCATAGACATACTTGAAGGGACAAGGTCTCTGGCAATAAATGACGGAAGAGAGGCAGCCAACTCAACTAGGAACCAAATCCCACATTGAATCAGATTTGGTTGCATGAAGAAGAAGCCATGAAAGCTCCTAGAGCTTTGTCACACATACCTTCAGCAGTAACGAAACTAGTTTTCACAAGAATAATGGCTTGCGAGACACCAAAAGAAGCTTAGGATAAGCTTAAAGAGGAGTACGGTGGAAGTGATAAAACCAGAATCATGCATGTTCTGAATCTAAGAAGGGAGTTTGAGGTGTTAAAAATGCAAGAGTCTGAAAATGTGAAACAATATGTTGATCGACTGATGAATGTGGTAAAATCAGACTGCTTAGCGAGGAGTTGATGGATGCAAGAATTGTGGAAAAGATTCTTGTGAGTCTACCAAAGAGGTTTGAGGCCATTCCTACCCCCACTTTTAGAAGGGTAAAATTGACTGACTCGTCTCCTTTATGCTCTTTGATGGTATCATTCGGCCTAGTATTAGCCCTTATAGTTCCCCTATTCTATTGCTAAAGAAAAAAGATGGTAGTTGGCATTTTTGTCTTGACTATTGCGCCTTGAATGTCATTATGATTCGTGATCGGTTTCCTATTCCCGCTGTTGAAGAGTTGCATGATTCCAAATTCTTCGCTAAGCTAGATCTCTGTTCTGACTTTCATCAAATCAATTTACACACTAATTCCATCCCTAAATTGTCTTTCCGCACTTATAGTGGCCATTTTGAGTTCTTGGTGATGCTTTTCGGCTTTTCTAACGTCCCCTCCACTTTTCTTGCCACTACGAATTCAATCTTCAAACCGTTCCTCCACAAATTCATCTAGTGGTCTTCAATGATATCTTGATATGCAACAATTCTTGGCTACCTCATATCGACCATATCTTGCAATTATTCCAGCTACTCCGCTTAGAATCTCTGAAAATCAAGTTCTCAAAGTTTACTTTCACCGTTACCCGCATCCACTACATTGGCCACATTATCACATCCCAAGGCGTCGAAGTCGAGCCCAATAAAATTTCTGCAATTACTTCTTAGCCAACACCACACTCAGTTCATGCCCTTTTCAGTTTTCTTAGCCTCACAGAGTACTACTACGGCTTTGTCCGGGGTTACGCCTCTTTCTCCACACCTTTGACATCTCTCATTTGTAAAGACAATTTCGTTTGGACCCCCATCACTACCAAAGCCTTTGAAGCTTTGAAACATGCATTGACAACCATGCTAGTGCTTGCCTTATTGGATTTTACAACCTTTTTCGCACCAACCAGAGAGATCTGATTGACCTCAGTGGAATCGGAAAGGATGTGGGCGTGATCACGGATAATCACCTATGGGTGAATGATAGATGCAATAAAATAAATAACAATGAGATTTTTAAAATGGTTTGGCTGAGCCTACGTCCATTGTTCTTGTATTTTCTATGAGAGCTTACAATAAGAGTTCTATGAAAAATTTCTAACCCCTTTTCTCTCATTTAAGGGGGTTTATATATACAATATTTGTTCAAAGGAAAGAGTGAAAATAAAGGGATTACAATTGATTTGAATTGCAACTCCGATATTCTTGCAATTGGGTGCTATGATTGCGTAAAGATTGTTGTTAATCTGATCGTTCCTGTAATATCTGGGAATCGATTGAATAATCATTCGGGGATTTTCGCGACTAGCTTGTGTTGAGTCGAACTATATGTCGATGAGCTTATACTGGGTTGAACAATCAGTAGAGTTGGATTGATTCTGGGTCGATCTAATACCTTACAACTTGCCAAAATTGATGGAAAAATCACACACACCATGACCAAACTTCATGGCGTTCCAAAAGCTGTAGTCACAGATAGTGATCAAATTTTCCCAAGTCTCTTCTGGCGGTCCCTATTCCAAAAACAAGGTTCTAAGCTGCTATATAGCACCACCTACCAGCCACAAGTCGATGGCCAAACAGAGATTCTGAATCGTTGCTTGCAGCAATATCTTCGTTGCTTTACGATGGACACACCAAAGCTCTAGTTTTGTTACCTCCACCTCGCCGAATATTGGTACAACTCCAGCTTCTACTCTACCGCAGGTATGACCCCATTTTAAGCATTATATGGCCACCCCCCTCCGTCAATTTCATATTACATCTCTGGCTTATCTCCCACCCTAGAAGCAAACCTCATTCTTCAGAACCACGAAATCATTTCCGCTTACGCCACAATTTACAGCTCGCCCAAAAGTAGACGGTCTACCAAGCAAACAAACTCAGACACAATCACTAGTTTCAAATAGCCGATTGGGTCCTCGTCAAGCTCTGCCCTCACGCCAGACCTCAATGGCTACTCGCCTCCACTAGAAATTACCCCGACGGTATTTTAGTCCATTCAACGTTATTGAACGCATTGGATCTTTTGCCTACTGGCTTCAATTATCGGAATCCTCCAAGATCCACCCTGTTTTCCATGTCTCCCTACTAAAGCCATTTGTCGGCACACCTCCAATCGGTACTGCTCCACCCTTGCTTAATATCGTCGATCTACACCTTGAGGACAAGGTTGAACTGCAAGAGGTGGGGACTGATACAGACCACGTTCCCTTACCCAGTCAGCCCATGGACCTGCAATCGCCTCCCCTTCTCCATCATGACAACGTGCAAGAGTTTATTGGCAAGAGAAGAGGAAGACCACCTACACACTTGAAGGATTACGTTCCTAAATAATAGGGCAACTAGTTTACGTGATGTTAGTGGCTATTTACTTGTATTTGAATATTTAAATGCCAGGTATCTCATTGTAATTTTATTAAACAGTAACGTTTATCTTTCAAATGTCCCAACTCTCACCGTCGAAGGCCTTTCTCTTCCTCGAATTAGAGAGCCAACAAATTACCCCCCACGACCGCACTTGTTGCTACTGTGTGTCCACAACTCGCTGGTTCCAGCCTTTCAAGCCAGAAAACCGTTGCTCAACATAACCCTTTCTGGCGGCAAAACACAATCCTTTTCCGCTAAAAAAAAACACATAAATTGGGCCACCAAATAACCATAATCCGACCTATCAAACAAGAATCAACACACAACAAGCAACAAGCAACAATCAAATTTAATGACCACCAAACAACATAAAAATGAACTAACTCTAGAGGTTCAATTCGCTGCTGGTGGTAATCCCATGATTAGGGAAGGAATAAAAGAAAAAAAGAAAAAAAAAAGAGGAAAGAATGAGGGGGAGAAAGAAGAAAAAGAAAGGATTGTGAGAAATGAAAAAGGAAACGAGGAGGGAAAGAAAAGACTATCTTACCTTATTCATTTAACAAATCTTGGACGGTGCTAGGGTTCTGGGGGGTAGGTGATTAGTTTTTAAACTTCTGGGGGAAAGTTGATTGTTCCGCCAATTTTTAACAACTATATATGGTAGATAATACTACAGAATAGAATATATTTAATGCACAAATAGACTATTAATCCTATGTTCTATTTTGACACCTTTTGAGCTGAGTGATCTTTCTTCATGTCTTTCTCTGGATTGTTTTTCTCTACATCTTCCAATTCTCCAACATCTACAGACCTGGATTCCTCAGATAGTGAAGAAGTACCAACTTCAGAATTGTGGTCAATAATCCCCGCTGTCATCGTATACTGAAATGTAATTGCAGACCAATTATAAAATTCATTAGTATATTAAAAGGTCAGTAAAAGAACCAAGTCAATGAGCGTTCTATAGCAGGATAAAACCAGTGGAAAAAAAGACAGATATATAAATCTATTTAGAGATTGAATCTAAAACAGAAAATTAATACACTTTAAAACATTAATTGGATATAAATATATAAAATTTGACCTCTGATTTCAAGCCATCTTCGTTAATCTGTTGCTCAGAAGGCTCCAAATTGACACCATCATCGTCAGTAGAATCAATTCTAAGGTAAACCGATGGAGGGGACTCAACATGGTCAATTTGGATCATGTCTTCACTCTCATTTGTTCTTGTGCTGATAGCCTGTGATATGTCAACTATGTAACAAACTCAAAAAAAGAAAATGTATAGTAATGAGCTTTTGAATTAACCTCATCTGATTTGGATGATTTATTGGAATGCTTCTTGTTCTTGAATACTTTTGGCTTCTTAAGATCCACTTTTAGTCCTGTAGTTTTCATTGTTGAAACAACCGCTACAAATTTCTTCCGACCTCCTTCTGTTGCAGTCTTTATATCGGCACTAAACTCTTTCACAAACTTCTCCATAGCCACGAAATGTAGTTTAATTAATTTTTCATTCTTTTCTCCTTTATGTCAGACTAATACATTGTGTGCTTCTCATTTTGTGCAAAGTAGAACTAAATCATTGCCCTTTTTTTCAATATTGTCACCTCTTATAACTTCACTCACCCGGTGAGAACCATCAAAGAAAGATTCATTTTTCTGGCACAGAAATAGAAAATTCCAATTTGAGGTTAGGTTGAAGAAGACTTGGTCAGAGTTTGAGTTCAAACTTGAGAAGGAATATGTGGTCATCAAGCTAGGCAATATGATAAGACCCCATTTGGAAAAATGAAATAGGTGAAAGATGAACAGAACTCAACTGAATGATTTTGATTGGAATAGTTTTTATTGAACATGTGAAGGAGGAGGAGTACTGAACGATTAAAGCTAAGGCAAATTCCTAGCTCCTTCGCTCATAGACTTTGACTAGATCAAATAGCTGACTCAGACTCACCAAGCTCACCTTCTATGAGGCTCACCAAAGGAATCATAAATTCAAGTCAACTAGAGCAGATGATTATGAATGGTCAGTGAATATGATTTTCTCGTCAAAAAATGGATTATTTGTGAATTAGAATATGACCCAGGAAACAGACATTATAGTATACAAGTTAAATAATTGAAGAAAATAAAATTCACAACAAATAAACAACCAAATATCTTAGAAAATTTCTAATCCAACATTATGGATTCATGACATCACCTAAATAAATTAAATAATTGAAGAAAATAAAATGAATCTTTCTTTGATGGGTTTCGTTTAAGTAAATATTTAGGGTCCGTTTGGTTCATTATTCTGATACTTTTTAAAATAGTATTTTAAAAAAAGTTAAATTGGGTGGGTATTACGATGTAGGATTTGGAAATTAACAAAAATATGTCCTATGTTTGTTTATTTACTAAACACCCCTATAATAAAATATTAAAAGTTAAAAAAAACACCCCAACCTACCCATTAAATACGGATAGTCGACCACCACCGCTGGAGGGTGGCCGGAGCCGTCGTATCGGCACATGACTGGTTGGATCTTGTCGGTTGTGCGCCGATATGGCCTTTTCCGGCCAGATCCACAGTGGATCTAGCCATTGACGGCCAGATCTGGCCGCATTTGGTCGTCAAAGATACGACCATCGTTGTTGGTCAACGACGGTCATATCTTAGCCGTTGCTCACGACTGTCTACGGCCAAAGATCTGGCCGTAGATCTGGCATTTTCTGGCCAGATCTACTATGGATCTGGTCGAAAAAGGCTAGATCAGCGCACTACCGGTCAAATTTAGTCTGTAGTGACTAGATTCCGGCCAGCTTCCAAAGTGGTGGCCGAAATCTTGTAAATGTCGGTTGTTGGGGTGTTTTTGCAATTTCTAAAAAAAATTTAGGAGTGTTTAGTTAAATTGACAAATTTAAGGGGGTTTAAAAGAAGTTGAATAATATTTTGAGAATAAGCCAATTTTGTTGTTTAACTTTATTGGAAAAACGCAGAATAACATTTGGAAGATTGAAACAAATGGAGCCTTAGTATTTGACTGTGTCCCACCTTCGGAATTTGGTGGTAATTATATTCTTGCTTCAAATTTGAAACATGGCAGGTACTTAAATTTCTCTTTCCAATGAATATGTTGTTACGATTATAATAGAAAAGGTTTCAAATAGAATTTGAAATCTCATGAAGTTGGTAAGAATATGTTGTTACGATTATAATAGACTCTTGAATTCATCTATTTTTGAAGAAATCATCTATATTTGAAGAAGTGTGCGTAGATCAATAGAAAAGTGAAGAAAATTCCAAAGCCAAAGATTTTCTATTATCTTCATAAAAGCCTTTCCATTGCAGATATATTTAACAAAATAATAATAATAATAATTAGGTTAGGATTTATGATTTAAAGGCAAAATTTGGGTTAGAGTTTATGATTAGAAGAAAAAATAAAATTTTTAGATTAAAAAATTGTATATCCCATTCAGCCATTTTTGTAAAGGATAAAATTGTAATTATATATAAAAAATGGCGTTTATTAATATGAAATGTGGTAACCAATAGCATCACTCTAAAATAGAAAGGCAATACTACATTTACAACTCAATTTCATAATTTTTTTTTCACAATCCCATGACAACTCACAAATGGATTCAGTTCATAATTGGTCAGCTCACTATAGTTTTTACCTTTCTAATTACGAGAAGTTTGTAACTTGGGTTGTGAGCCCATATTTATTAGTTTATTAATATGTCCAACATTAGCGTCTTGAAATTGACTTTATCATATTCACATTCAGCACAACAAAAACTGAAAAGACAACATTAGCGTCTTGAAACTGGCTCCGTTTGATTAGTTATTTAGAATAGCACTCTATGCTATTTAACATTTTTAGAAAATACGATAGGATTCTGAGAAGTTTTTGGTACATTTTGAATAGCATTTTCTAAAAATATTTAGATCATTCTAACCCCTAGATTTGTTAATTTAACTAAACACTCTCCACAATAAAAGTTTATAAATTGACGTATTGCTGATAGCCGCTCACCACCACTGGAAGGTGGCTGGAATCTACCAAAATGGAGCACGACCGACTAAATCCAGTTGGTTGTGTGCCGGTGGATCTAGCCGAAAACGGCCAAATCTGGTCGTCGTTGATTGCCATATCTTGATTGTCATTTGGTCGTCGTCAATGGCTAGATCTGGTCGTCAATAGACAGATCTTTGGCCATAGATCTGGCTAGAAATGGACATATCGACACACAACCGACCAGATCCAGTCAATCATGCATTGTTACGGCAATGATGATGGCTGCTGGCGGGTGATAGTGGCTTGGGTGAGAGGGTGTTTTTGTTAATTTTAAAACTTTTATTGATAAATGTAATTGTTAATGTTTTTAGTTGAGTATAACAAAATTGGATTTTAAAGAATATTAAAACAAATGTATTTTTAGGTTTTTATGATAGGATAGAGGAATACGATAGAGGGAAAAAAGTGTGCCGAACGGACCCGGGTGCACTTGGTTCATTATCATGATACTTTTTATTATAATATTTTGAAAAAAAAAGTAAGATTGGGTGCTTATTACGATTTAGGATTTGAAAATTAACAAAAATACCCTCCGTGGTTTGTTTATTTACTAAACACCCCTATAATAAAATATTAAAAATTAACAAAAACACCCCCACCCACCCATTAAATACCGACAATCGGCCACCACCGCCAGAGGGTGGCCGGAGTTGTCGTATGGAGCATGACTAGCTGGATCTGGCCAGTCGTACGGCGAAAAAAGCTAGATCTACTGCTAGATCTGGTCATATTTGGTCGTCAACGATAGCCAAAGATTTGGCCATTGTTGACGACTGGCTACGGCCAAGGATCTGGCCATCGATGGCCAGATCTGTGGCTGTATATCTTGTTGAAAAAAGCTAGATAGGCGCACTACCGGCCAGATCCAGCCAGTAGTACTCCATTATACCAGATTTCGGCCAGCTTCCGACAGTGGTGGCCGGAATCTGGCAAACTGGGTTGCTGGGGTGTTTTTGTCAATTTCTATAAAAAACAAAAAAAAAAAATTGGGTGGTATTTAGTTAAATTAACAAGTCTAGGGGGTTTAAAAATCATTGAATACAAATCTAGGGGATTTAAAAGGAATTGAATAATATAGAATAATATTTTGAGAATAAGGAAATAAGTGTAGTTTTTTGGATAGAATAGCGAAAAATTGTGTGCCAAAGGGGGTGTTTATTTTATTATTTTGGATAGAATTTTTGAAAAAGTAAGAATTGGATGGTTATTACTAGGTAGGATTTAAAAATTAACAAAACACCCCCTAGGTTTGTTAATTTACTAAACACTCGTGTAATAAAACATTGAAAACTAACAAAATACCCCCACCCACCCATTAAATACTGACAGCCGGAATCTGGGAAATGTGGGTGGGTGGGGGTGTTTTCATCAATTTATAAACTTTTTTTGGGGGGTGTTTAGTTAAATTAACAAACTTAATATGCATTTGTTTCAGTATTTTTGCACTATCCTATCCCTATCCTACCAAAAATACACATTTATTTTCCTATTCTGAAAATCCTATTATATTTTATTCAATTATTTTTAAACCCCTTAAGATTATTAATTTAACTAAACACCCTCAACAAAAAAGTTTAAAATTTGACAAAAACAACCCCGCCCACCAACATTTGCCAGATTCCCATCAGGACTGTCGGAAGGTGGCCAGAATCTAGTATAATAGCACACTACTGGCTAGATCCGGTCGGTAGTACGCTGATCTAGCCTTTTCTGACCAGATTTACAATCAAAGATCTGACCATTAACAACCAGATCTTTGGCCATAGCTAGTCGTCAACAAAGGCCAAGATATGGCCGTCATTGACCATCAATGACAGCTATATCTTTGGCCATCATTGACCACCAAACGTTGCCAGATCTGGTCGTCAACGGCTAGATCTAGTTGTAGATTTGGCATTTCCCTAGAAAATGCCATATCGAGCAAGACCAACCAAATCCAATCGATCGTATGCCAATATGAAACTTCAACCACCCTCCAGCGGTGGTGGCCGACTGTCGGTATTTAATAGGTAAGTGGGGGTGTTTTTGTTAATTTTCAATGTTTTATTACAAGGGTGTTTAGTAAATTAACAAACATATGGGGTGTTTTTGTTGTTTTTTAATCCTACCTCGTAATAACCATCCAATTCTTAGTGTCCATTTGGTTCATTATTTTGATAGTTTTTAGAATAATATTTTGAAAAAAGTTAAATTGGGCGAGTATTACGATGTAGGATTTGGAAATTAACAAAAATATCTCCTATGCTTGTTTATTTACTAAACACCCCTATAATAAAATATTAAAAGTTAACAAAAATACCCCCAACCCACCCATTAAATACAGACAGCCGGCCACCACCGCCGGAGTGGCTGGAGTGTTTTTCCAATTTCTAAAAAAAATGTTTGGGGGTGTTTAGTTAAATTAACAAATTTAGGATGTTTAAAAGAAACTGAAAAATATAGAATAATATTTTGGGAATAATGACATTTTACTGTTTAACTTTTTTGAAAATACTAATAATAGTATTCCCAAAAACGAACTAAACGAAGCCTTACTTTTTAAAAAATTCTATCAAAAATAACAAAACAAACACACCTATGCTTTTATTGTCATTATTGCATGTTTGCTGGTTGAAGAGGTCTGATGAAAACATTTCCGAATTTTATTGGGTTTGGGGTGACTAAAATGCATTGTGATTTTACAATCTTAATTGACAAAGTAGATGTGACACAAATATCAGCTCAATACGCACCATATACACAAACAAAATTGTACTTTCATTTGTGTCAATTTTTCATAATATGAGGGTTACTCATTTGTTAAAAAAATTTGGGACATATAAGTAATTCAATTATTGTTAAAAGAT